ATATATGCAGTGTATTATTTGTTGAAACTGTACTTCCGATTTGATTTGAAACTGTCTCATTGCTGTTTATCAATAAAACTTTGAAAAAAAAAAACGCCTTTGGCTGGGGGAGAAGGTGATAAATGAAAATGTGAAGAAGGGAGTTTTATGGGGTGGGGATGTGTAACCAAGTCTGTGTCAGTGCCCTGCGCAGTCAGGAGTTACGGGAGGGTTTGTCCTTCCTGTGTGTGCCTTTTGTCTGTGTCCTCATTCTAACTTACAGATCAGAAGCAGTTTCTTATTTGTCATTACATCAGAAGCGTAGTACTTTGTTTTAATGTCAAAGATCTTCAGTCATAAAATGAGGGTGGATGCACAAAAAGGGGACACAAAACAGACTGTTGTAGAAGCCTGTGTGTCCAAGAGCTGTCAGCCAAAGGGTATTTTTGTTTCTTTATTTTCTGCCTGGTGGTTGGTTGAGTGCCTGGGATCTTGGTAGGACAGCTGCAGGGCATTATGGGAAGGAAACTTGCCGTTGCTCTTTATCAGTGTAAGACTAACTCTGGGCCTCTGTGTACAAATTGGGTTTTTAAGATCATTTTGATGTGAAGTTCTCCAGGAAGGAGAGTTGGATCTGACACATCAGCACACCCTGCTTTGTTTGCTTCCTGCTTGCTGGTGGGAATTCAGCGTGCCAGTGTCCTTAGGTGTTGCCCTTTGACAGCCGGTTGGCATTCCCTTCCCCCAGGATGGGCGGAGAGCCAGCCAAGTGGACCATGGCCAGCCCTTTTGTCCACTTTTCAGAAAGCAGTGTATCTTTGAAATAAGAATGCTGTTTCTGGTTTCTGCTGATTCTGGGAAAGAAAAGGCTTGGTAGTGTTGGAGTCATCATTAGCTTTTGCTTAGAAAGTGGTGGTACAGTTTTTTGGTTGGCTGTGTGTGGGTGTGAGTGGAAGTGAGGAGGGGGTTCATGTTTTCATTGTATGGGTAGTTATTTTGTTATCAGAAACAAGCCATCTGGCACTAGAATAAGCTTGTCACTCCTCGCAATACTTAAGTGTTTACAGATTCCCTGGGTCAGCCCAGCTGTGCTCAGAGCTGGGTAAGTGGCCTGGGCAGCTGCTTTCATCTGTTCCCTTATCACCGTTTCTTCAGCCACCTGTGCTCTGTGCTGGGCAGACATTGTTGTAAAGGCCCATTCTAGTACCAGGACCAGGAATAACTGATGGGGGAAAAACACTAGTAAGTTTATTTATGTGGAGAAGGGGATGAGGAGGGAGGAGGAAGGAGTTGCTCTCAGAGCTTCTTTCTAGACTAACAATCCTGATCCTAGAAATCAGTACAGTTCAGTTACAAAACCTAAAACATTATTAGTGGCCTGTTGCATATGAGGGAGGCCCTCTGCTGGATGCTAATGAGAAATAAGACTGGCTGCTCCTGTCCAAGGCAGCCCAGTCTGGGCAACTTAGTGACATAGCAGACCCAGTCTCAGAGGGTTGGAAGATAGTGCTGGGTTCAATCTCCAGTACCAAAAAAATTCCCAGAGTGCTCTTGGGCAACTTGGACTGCTAGGTGATACAGGCCTGTTAATAGTAGCACTAGGGTGGAGCTACCTGTGCTGAGCTGCGAAGCTACAGGCAGCCTTTGTTACCTTGGTACAGCAAGCAGGGAGAGCCATGAAGTGCAGCGGAACGCTGGGCCTGGAACGCAAGGCACGCTTGGTAAATTGGCCAGCCAATTAAGCGAAGAAGGGTATGAAGGGGTGCTAAAAATGTAACAGCTGTGAAAGAAGAGCAAGCCCAAGGCTTGCAGGTGCAGGAAATAAAATAGTTTAGGTGTCTGCTGCTGAAAGGCTATGTGTGGGCTAAAGTAGGAAGGGGTTTAGATCTGGGCCAGGACCTTTAGAATATGAGCTCTTTTTACCAGCAAACACACATGCCACTGTATTTTCTATTTTTGTCAGTCTACAGTACAGATCGAAATACTGCATCTACCACACCTAACCTCCACGCTGGCACTCCTCTTCCCAAGTCACCGGTGATTTTGGGATGACTGCTAGAGGTTGTGCCAGACCTGTGGGGTCTTGTCCGTGTTGTATTTTTGCTTACTTGCAGGTTTTTCTTAGAACTCTTAGGAGTGAGGGATGGATGGAAAATGGATGTTGCTCAGCTGAGCTAACTTGAAGTCACTCAGGAGACCTGTGGAGCAGACCTGTCATTTTTGAGTGCAGAGGACTTCTCTGTCCTAACACTCTTCTGTCTAGCCTCAGGCTGGTGCAGTCCATGGCAAAGTTAAAAAAATGAGGACATTTCCATAGGAAGATTGTCATGTACCTACATTTATTAAATTAAAAAAAAAAATTGAGGCAGGGTCTCACTATGCAATTCAGGCTGGCCTGGAGCCCACTAGGAAGCCCAGGCTGGCCTAAAACCTCAGGAATCCTCCTGCCTCAACCTTCCTAGTGCTGGGGTTACAGGCATGCACTACCATGCTGGTTATAAAACTTAAATGAAGTCTTTATTATTTTAGTCCCTTTTTAAAAAAGAGGTTTATTTTAAATTGTTCATCTTTTTTTTCTTTTTCAAAAATACCTTTTTTAGTTTTGTATTGATAGAAGATATATAACATTTAAATGTTATCTCTTGAAAAATTAAAAAGTGGTAACCCAAATGTTAATCTGATTTTGTTTAAAAACTGTTCTGGTAGTTTGGGGTCTAAAAGCTAAGAAACCATCGCAGTGTACTATACCACTCCTCTCAAATGAATGCCTTGAAGCAGAACAGGCTGGCCCTGCTGCTGATGAGGCAGTTCCATTAGAAAGTAAAGCTAGGGGGCTGGGGAGATGGCTCAGTGAATAAGCACTTCACTGCCAAGCGCAAGGGCCTGAGTTTAATCCTTGGTTCCGCCAACAAAAAAAAACTAAAGCTGGTTAGAACACATCTCCTGAAAGCTGAGTTTTTGCAGAGAAAGCCCAGAGAGCTTCAGAAAACTGCCCTTTATGGATATAGATACAAAATGCTAAATCCAGCAACCTAGCCAGGAATATTATGTGTCCTGATCAAGGGAGTGTCTCAGGGAAGTTAGGTTCATGAACACCTGAAGATTCAAGTAATTTACCTTATCAGAATGAAAGCTGAAATGTACATGGTTATCTCAACAGATCCAAAAGAAGCATTTTCAAAGTCAAATGCCCTTTTATCATTTTATAAGGCCCTTGGGAAACTAGGAATAGAAGGGAACTTAACAGCCTCTATCACTGGCCTGAGCTGTGAGATAGCTCAGGGAACTAAGCACCTGTTCAGGCAAGTGCAGGGGATGGGGTTCCATCTCCAGCACCACATGCTGCGCCGGCCCTGCGCACCCCCTCACCCCCGTGCCTGCTGAGCTGGCCTCTGAGTCTGGGCATGGTGGTACGTGCCTGTAATCCTAGCACTGGGGAGGCTGAAAACAGGAGAATCCCTAGAGTCTGAACTATGCAGTGAGACCCTGTGCCAAATACATAAATAAATAAACCCTCTACTACAGTTAAGACTATACACATTACGTTGAAGCTCAAGAGCAAGATGCCACCTGTTGCCCTTCTGTTCAGTGCTGTCCTGGAAGATCGAGCCAGGACAGATAGGCAAGAAAATGAAATAGCCGTCTAGGCTGGAAAGCGTGTGTGTGCTACCGAAGTGAGCACAAGGTTGGAAAGAAGTAAAACTATCGCCATGCTCCGATGGTATGACTTTTTATATAAAGATATTCTTAAAGAATATTAAAGTATTAGAACTGATAAGTTCAGTAAGATACAAGGTCACATAAAAAATCAGTTGGATTTTTATACATTAGCAATAAATAGCCTAAAAATGAATATAACATAAAATAATGCTTTGGGAGAAATTGAACAAAAGAGCATAACACTCAGAAAAAGCACATAACATTGTTTTAATAATGTTTTTATTAAAATCCTAAGTAAATGGAAAGACTTCCCATTTGTTCTGACCTTAGTAGTATTAAGATGACAATATTATACTCCCTAAATTGATCTACAGATTTAACACAGTCTCTCCCAAAATCGCAGCTGGCACTGAGCATGATAGACTACACCTGTTATCCTAGACTTTAGGAGTCTGAGACAGGGGGATCACCTTGAGTTTGAGACCATCTTAGGGGTTCATAGTTCAAGACCAGCCTGAACCACACAGCAAGACCCTGTCTTAAGAAACCAGAACAACAAGTTTTCAGTTGGCTTCTTTTTTTTTTTTTTGCGGAACCGGGGATTGAACTCAGGCCCTTGCGCTTGCCAGGGTCAGTTGGCTTCTTGAACAACATTGCTTATCCTGTAATTCATAAGGAAATGCAAAGGATTCAGTCTTGGGAAAGAGCAGTCTCAGGTCCACTTTCTGAGGTCTAGCCACAAAGAATCAGCAAACTGTGAAGCTGGCCTAAGGACAGAAGTCCAATCAGTGAAATAACATGGAGAGCTTATAGGTCACGATCAGTTATTTTCACCCAGGGTGACAAGATGGGTCAGTACCAAAAATAGTACCTGGACAAGTGGATAGCTAGAGGGAGCATAACTAAGCTAGCTCATGCCATAGATAAGAAACTCAAAATGAGCCAAACGCCTAACTGTAAGAGCTAACACTTTAGAAGAAAACAGTAGTTTCTTGCATATGACATCAAAAGCAAGCAACAAAAGAAAACAGATTTGGGCTTTATCAGAGTTGAACTTTGGTGCTTTGGTGGCATTGCTGCTGTGTGGCAAACGATCTGTCAGTTCCTGAAATAGTTAAACAGAGCTATCATCCAATCCAGCAATTCCACTGGTTATGTACTCCAGGGAATTGCATGTGGAATGTCCCTAGACTTACTCATCATACCCAAGAAGTGGAAACAACCAGTAAATGGGTGGAGCAAATCTGGTGTGGCCATACAGTGGAGTACTGCTTCACAGTACTAAGAAGTAAAGAATTGACACATCCTACAACATGAGTGACACTTGGAAATGCTACATTCAGTGAAAGAAGCCATTTCCATCAGTAGCGTTTATGGAAGATCTCCAGAGCATGCAAGCAACAGAGACAGTAGATTCGTGGTGTCTCGGTAACAAGCTGGTGTGAGAGGTGGAAAGATTGGAAGGTGCTGGCTGAAGGTACAGAGTTTCATTTTGGGGTGAAGAAAGTTCTAAAGTTGATTGTGGGGACGGATACACTTTATAGGTATACTAGAAACAAATGAATTTTACACCTTAGGGGGGTGAATTCTATGGTATGTGAGTTATATCTCCTTAAAGCTATTATGAAAAGTCGGATCCCAGGATGTAGCTTGGTAACAGAGTACATGATTAGCCTGCGTGAGGCCCACGTTTCAGTCCCCGGTGCACTTGCGTGTGCATGCACACACATACAACTGATAGACCTTTGGGACACACCGTACTCTCCCGCAGTTGTGACTTGCTTTTGCTGGCCATGAACTCTGTTTTAAGCTTCCTTTCCTTTCCATTCCAGAGCTAAGCCTGTCTGCACGGTGCCTGCAGCTGGAGCACAAAAGGACAGATTTCACCGCTTCCGGGAATCGGAAGCTCTACTTTGACACCCATGCCTTCGTGTGCTTGCTAGAAGAAAATGGTAATCCTCTCTGGGCCCCCAGCACCCCAGAAAACATGGTTCCCTTTTCTTGATCCTACTTCTCTGTGACTCTTAAGCCTGCAGGTAGCATTTCAGTTAATCTTTAGGTCCTCATTTTATTGTTTAAGGACATTTTTGCTTTCTCACTACAATAGAGATTTTTCTTCTCACTCATTTCTCTTTGTGTGAGTGAAGTGCATTCTTATGCCATCAGCATGGAAGAGTGATGTCAAGGATAAGGATTTAGACAAGATTGCTTAGATTCAGGAGCACTTTCCTTGACAAGTGGTATGAGGCGTGAAAGAGGTAGCTTTGTCTCTGTCCCTCCCATCCTGTGTGCCTTTAAGAATTTTACAAAAGCAAAATGTTGCTGAGCAGCAGGTGTTGATGATTTCCAACTCACTCTTTCCTTTATTGCTGTTAATTAATATAAAAGGTTGCTCCAGTGTGTATGGCATTCACTCAGAGCACACTTGGAATGTGGGGAACATTCTCCTACGTAATCATATTCAAATAAATACACCCATTGTAATTCTGTATTCTGTCATGTGTATAGTCTTAGAATTTTAAATTATGCCCTTCAAATAAATACATGTTTTTACCTCTATGTCTAGTTATTTATCTAGATGTAGATGTGTATATTTGAAAAGCTAAGTGCTGTATAAGAAATAATGTTCACAGCTTTTCTTGTCAAACTTAAAACAGGGTTTTATTCATTAAAACTTCTTTCAGCTCTGAATTCTAGAGGAAAGTAGAAATGGGAGATATGAAGGAATCTTGGTGAGCAGTTTTCTTCTGATTTCAAACCTTGACCCATAGTTTTTTGCATCTTTTCAGACTAGAGATGTGAGGGCCCTGCCCATGTTGGGGTTCACTCCTCCCCCTGGGGTAGATGGCATCTGAGGTGACCAGCTTAGGAAGAAGCTAGGCAGGATTCTCAAGGGGTATTCACCCTTTTTATCAAGAGCCCTGTCTCCTGATGAACAAACTCCTAACTCTGTGGTCTCACCGCTCTCCTTGTACCCTGTTCTGTCATTCCTAAAGTGCAGAGCTCTATAGGTATGAAGGCTTACTTGCTGGTTTTTTCTTACCTCTTTCTCCTTCCTTGGGTACCTCTAAATGATATACCTTTGAAGTTTATCATCTACATGAATCCCTCACTTTCTTCTCTCTTTTTCTTATTTTTGCTGTGCTAGAACTTAGAGCCCTTGAACTGATCTCCTCCGTCCCTTTTTTTTTTTTTTTTTTTTTTAACTGGGGATTGAACTTGGGCCTTTGCGCTTGCCAGGGAAGCACTTATTCTACTGAGCCATCTTCCCAGCCCCCCTCCCTTTTTTGAGACAAACTCTCACCAAGTTACCCAGGCTGAGCTCAGACTTGTGATGATCCTCCTCCATCAGCCTTCTTTTAAAAAAAAAAAAAAATTATTTATTGGGCTAGGGAGATAGCTCAGTGGAATAAGTGCTTGCCTGGCAAATGCAAGGCCCTGAGTTTGATCCCCTGTTACTGAAAAAAAAAAAAAAAAAAAAAAAAAAAAAAATGTATTTGGTACAGGGTCTCACTACACAGCTAGAACTCATAGTGATCCTTCTGTCTCAGCCTCCCCAGCACTGGGATTACAGGTGTGCACTACCATGCTTGGTTTCAGTGGCCAGCACAGTGCACCCAGGGTTCTGGGGCCAGCGTGGCTTGTAGTACTGGGGATTGAACTCCGGTCCTTGTGCTTGCCAGGCTGGTGTTTACACTGCCAAGCTATCTCGCCAGCCCTGGCCTTGTCTTTCTTTTTTTAAATTACACTTACGCTTTTTAACACAAAATTTACATATAAAATAGGACATGTATCTTTTTCTCATAATTGTTAAGCCTAGTTATGTTGGACCATGAGCTCCTTTTAATAAAAATTTAAAATTTGCAAAAGTCATGTTCATTTTCTAAATATTAAGAAAGCAGAAAGAAAGCAAAGCAAACTGACACGCCAGCACTAAACAGTGATAGGGTCCCTTTTGCCTGGTTTTCCTAGACGTGTGTAACACATTTTAACAAAGTAAAGGCCTCTGTGTAAGGAATGGGAGTAGGTCTCTGGATAGCCTTTGCTGCTTTAAATCTGTGCCTTTGTTAAGTTAGTCCTATGCTCAGTCTCATCCAAATGATAGTAGTTACAACTTGATTCAAACAAATATGCCATTAATTAGAATCAGTAGACTCTTCGGAAGTTCTTGTAAATACAAGCATTTAATAGAATTACCTTTCATGGACTGAGTTTGAGGCATTGTATTAGAACTCCTAATGTGCGCTATGAGTTGTCTATAGTAACTAAAAGCAGTAAAACACTGAATAGAATCTATAATTCAGTTCATCATAATTAAATATGAATAACTTTTTCCCCAATTTTGACCCTCTGGACTAGTGACCCAAGAAAAGCTACAGCAGGAAAAAGAATTTGTTCTGACTCCTAGCATTATGTCAGTTAACAACTAGATTACTGTTTATAGTCTGTAATAGTGTGACTAATTGATGTTGAGTATAAAATAATGGTGCTTTCCTACATAAGAAAACTATTTTTGGGGGCTGGGGAAATAGCTCAGTGGAATAAGTTCTTGCCTGGCAAGCTCAAGGTCCTGAGTTCAATCCTTGGTACCACCAAAAAAAAAAAAAAAAGAAAAAGAAAACTTTTTAATAACATGCATTTTAAAGTTATCTTGTCTACTGTAGAAAATGTACCCAATTCAGAGAAGTATGAAAACAGAAACAAAACTTACAAGAAGTCTGTTAAATTACAAAAACAGCTGGGTAGTAGCTCAGTGGGAGACTATGACTGTGTGCATGGAACCCTGGCTTCCGTCCTCAGTGGTCCTGAGAGAATTACTACAGGAGCTGTCTTTGCGTCTCTTATTTTGGGTCTTGCTCTGGGTTCTCTCTTGGCATTGAATTGCAGCCCTTCCTTGTGTGGTAAACATTCTTCACAGATGTGGTTTCAGACAACTAGGAAGGACATTCGGGCTCAGCATTCAGCCCAGCCACCTCCCTGTGCGTGGGGAGACAGCGACTGCCTCCTGGATGGGGCGGCCAGCGAGCTCCCCCGTGACTCTAGTTTCTGCACCTCCTTCCCACTCTGCAGTTTCCCATTCCTGAACTTAGACCATCAGGAGAATGTATGAATGCGTAAGGCTTTTGTCCTGTGTGTTACTGTCCCCCCACAACTGCATTTCTTCTCAGTGTAGTTGTATCTGTGTGCTTGCTTAGGATTTACAACTCAACAAGCAGAAATCATTGTGTCTGCCTTGGTCAAGATCACGGAGGCCAACACGGACATCGTTTACAAAGACATGGTCACCAAGGTGCAGCAGGTTAGCATGAATTTGAAATCTGGGAGAAGGGTATGATTATGGTAAATAGGAGTATAATTTTTGGATAATATTTAATTGAAAAGTATCATTTTAGCTACCATTAAGGGGCAAATATGGTCATTGTGTAAAAAGTATTTGAGGGCTGGGGAAGTGGCTCAGTGGTCTAAGTGCCTGAAGGCAAGTGCAAGGACCTGGGTTTGATTCCTAGAACCCTGGGCGTGCCTGACTGGCCACCGAAACTGCGTGTGGTGACACATGCCTGTTATCCCAGAGCTGGGGAGGCTGAGACAGGAGGATCATTATGAGTCCAAGCTGTGTAGCAAGACCCTGTACCAAATAAATAAAAGGGATTTTTTTTCTAAGATAAAAAAGTACTTGAAGCTGCTTAGTCAACTGTAACGGACTCATCATTTTGGCAGTTCATTGTGCTCAAACTCTGACTTCCAGTCCTAATGCACTTAGTAAGTGAAGGTATGGCTTGTGTAATAGTATGACATCATGTCGTGAGCTTTGGACCGCCACCAGTTTTAACTGATTCATTTAATAGCAACGCTGGTATGTGTTTCTGTTCTTTTCACTTTTTCATTTCACAAGGGAGAGTGACATTACTGAGCCTTCTCCCTTGTTCACACTGTTATAGTTCCCTTTAAGGTAACAGGAGGTAGATTTGTAGGCTGTAGTATATCATTTGCCTTGTTTTTCTTTTTCTAGGAGATCACTCTTCAGCAAATAATGTCTAAGATTGCAAATGTGAAAAAAGATATGATTATTTTGGAGAAGAGTGAATTTTCAGCCCTCAGAGCAGAAAATGAGGTAAAACTACGGAGCCCCTTAGAAAATTTGTTAAGATAGTGAGAGATACTGTCATATGCATACGTAGAAGGGGACAAGTAGGTGTCCGGCACAGTGCACTTCCAAGTGTCCGCCACTGATCGGGTCATGAGGCAGGACGTCGCCAGCACCAAGCCTGCATCTCTCCCAGAGGCCCCCACTGTCCCGGCTATGATGCCCTTGACTAGTGTTTGCTGTTGTACACCTTCCTGTGATGAGAGTCCACAGTGTGTCTTAGGCCTGGATCTTCCTTTTCATTGTCTGTAGTGTTAAGTGAGCGTGCTGCGTGTTCTAGTGTGGTGTCATTAGGTCAGGTCCAGGTCTGGGGCATGAGTCAGTGTTGCTGAATTACGTGTGTGCTCTCTGTGTGTGCATCCGTTCTTTTTCAGTCCTACTTGAGGTTTCATATGGGAAGGTTATTTATTGCTTGTTGGTTGTAGCTTGATAATTAATCTTGTAAAGAAAATTAAACTATACGCGCTGGGGAGATGGCTCAGTGGGATAAGCGCTTCCCTGGCAGGCGCGAAGGCCTGAGTTCAATCCCTGGTTCCACCAAAAATAAAAAAAAATTAAAAAGAAAAAAGAAAATTAAACTATAAAATTTTCCTTGAAATTAGCTATTTGCTGAAAGCAAATATGCGTATTAAAAAAGCAATTGTGTCACCAGTTTTTTGTGACCTTTACTATGAACTAAACCAATTCCAGGGGCTACACATACATTGTAGTACATTTGTCAGCTTTGTGTGCTCAGTGTGCTCGTGAGTGTGAACAGGGGAGTGAATGTCTGTGTCAGTGCATGGCGTAGTGTTTGTTGATCGAGTTTTGTGCTTTTCTTTTTAACATATCCTTGTTTCTTTCTAATGTGTTTTTAGAAAATAAAGCTTGAACTACATCAGTTGAAACAGCAAGTAACGGTAAGAATCTCTTTCCAGTTTGCTGATTTGCTCATAATTATATAGACGTGTGTGTGTGTGTGTGTGTGTGTGTGTGTAGATCAGAAATATGTGCTCCTAAAGACTTCATTTTTTCATTCTGTTACATGTTTAAAATATGCCTCAAAAGTATGCAATAAAGTATCAGTGTCTAAATTCATTAAGAAAATTGTTTTCTAGGAGGATTTAAATCATTTTTAAATCCAAATATTTCTAAAATAACCACATGGAACCCTTAGATACTCTTAGAATTATGTGGGTTTTTTAAATTTTTTGGTTTTCTTTTTCAGTCTCTTTGAGACGGGGTTTCGCTCTGCAGCTCAGTCCCCACTCGCCGCAGTCCTGCCTCCGCCTCTGGAGTGCAGGCATGACAGGTCTGCACGGCCACGCCCGGCTCTTCTGAGTGATTTTTAAAGGTAGCATTTTTTAAATAGAAGGCCAGCTTCATTTTTTTGTTGGTTTTTGGTAGATAGGATTATTGGTGTTTAAAAGCAAAAGACTTAACTTTTTTTAATAAATAAATATATATATATATGGTATTTTTGTACTGAGGACCTAACTCAGGACATGGCAGTTGGCAGGCAGGCACTATGCCACTGAGCTTTCTCTCCAGCCTTAAAGGGAAAAGACTTCGATTAATTTCTGAGAGAAGGCTTTTATTTAAGCTGTAATTTTAATATTTTCCTTCTTTGAATCCATTTTTGCTTTCCAAGGAACTGCTTTAATTATAAATTCCATAAGGGAAAATATATGGGAAACTTGAGGATAAAAGCAGCTAATTGGGAGGCCGAGGCAGGAGGATCAGGTGAGCCCAGGAGTTTGAGGCCAACTTGAGCAGTGAAGTGAAACAAAATGACAAAAACCCAGAAGCCAACACCATTAAGATAGATGGATGGATGGATGGACAGACGGACAGACAGATGGGTGGACCAGTGGACTGATGGAAAGCCAATAGACACAGCTGGCTACAGGCATGGCTTATCCAGACCAATCCCTGGCTCCCTTTGTCTGGCGCCCTTAGGACAGAGTCAGAGGGTGATCCCAGCATCACGGCCTCAGGGGTTTCCCTTGCTGACTTCTGATTTCTCTTCTCTGTTGCTTGCTTTCCTACCAGGATGAAGTGATCAAAGTCCGAACAGATACCAAGTTAGACTTCAATCTAGAGAAGAGCAGAGTAAAAGAATTGGTATGTTCCTTCATTGAAGTAGGTTCTCAGTTCATTTGTTTTCAGGATGGAATGCTTGGGTATATCTGGGTCTATATATAGCTCACGGTGCTATTAATTTTTATCTCCTTAATCAGGATACGGAGATTTTTTAATTCAATTATATTTTGGATTGGGGCTTATATTTGATTCTTTCAAAAGTCAAATTAGAATCTTAGTCATCTAGTATTTGATCTTTTGTTGCAGTGATTTTAGACTATATGTTACATAGACATTGATAAGGAAATTAGACTCAATCTTGATCTACTTAATACTGACTTATGGGGCTGGTGAGATGGCTCAGTGGTCTAAAGCACCTATTTGAAAAAGCTTAGCAAAGCAAAGGGACCACGGTTCAATCCCCCAGCACCACATGCCAGCCAGCCGCGCCCTCTGGTGGGCTGAGCTGGCCACAAACACACACACACACATAAATAAATAAATAGTTTAAAAAAAAAAAAAATACTGACTTAAATCCCCACATGTCCTAATTCTACACGAGATGATTGTTGAGATGAACTTCATTAGGTTATTAATATGAAATAATAGGTTGCTAATATGAAATAGCTAGTATTAAATTAGACCCTGAAATTTAAGATTAAAATATATCTATATATCTATATGTATATATAGGTATATATTGTTATTGTTGTTGCTGTTCTGGGTTTTTTTAGGAGATTTTTGTTTGTTTGGGGGTTGTTCGGCCTTTTTGGTGCTAGAGGTGCAACCCAGGGCTTCAGTCATGCTAAGTAGACTCTCCTGGGGCTACAGCCCCACCACCACATATTGTCTTTGAAATATAACAAGAAGTTGTATGTTTTCATAAAAATATGAGCTGGGCCAGGTGTGGTAGCACATGCTATAATCCCAGCACCTGAAAAGCTGAGGCAGAATGATCATCACAAGTTTGAGGCCAAGACCATTCTGAGCTATATTGTGAGACCCTGTCTCAAAAAACAGAACAAGCGCCGACCAGATAGCTCAGTGAACTAAAGCGCCTTCTTAGGCAGAGCACAGTGACTGGGGTTCGATCTCCGGCCTGCTGTGCCAGCCCTGTCCCAGGGCACGCTGAGACAGCGATTGAGACTGGGCATGGTGGCGTGCCCCTGTAATCCCAGTGCTGGGAAGGCTGAAAAAAGGCAGATCACTATGAGTCCAGTCTGTATAATGAGATCCTGTAGACCCTGTACTAAATACGTTTTTTTTTTTTTTAAAAAATATGTATATATATATATATATATGTTGGAGGGGGTGGGAGATGTGGCTCAGCAGTCGAGCTCCTGCTTTGCATACACAAAGCCCTGGTTCAGTCCCTAGCACCACACACCAAAAACCAAAAAAAAAAAGAAACAAAGAAAAGAAATAGAAGCATCGGATGCCACTGGTGATGTCTGACCTGTCTGGATGTTCTCTCCTCTGGCGCAGTCTGTCCTCAGATCTGATGACACTCGTGAGACACCTGTCTTCTTCGTGGCATAGTGACAAGCAGGGCCCGTGGGGCATGTTTCATAGCACGAGCTGGCAGAAATGGTACTCAAAACTGCCATCTTTTTTACAGTTTGCCTTTAATCAAAATGTTCTCCAAACTATAAACAAAGCTAACACTGAAACTCAGGGATGTAACTGTATTTTGGCCCCGCTGCCCCTGTTGGAGAGCTGAGATTCATTGTAAAAGTTATGATTATGCCCATATTACTCATCTTTCTATCTTATTACACTTTTCAACCATGAAGATTAAATCAGCTGCTATTATTAAAACAGTTAGTGGCCACAAGCCTATAATTAGTATCTAGAAGACAAAACACTCTGGATATGTACTTACTTTTTGGTTGTGTTTTTAGAACTATGGGCTCACTTGGTTATGTGCCTACACCTAACCAAACTGGAAAGAAATACAGGGAGGAGGCTGGGAAATCCAGCACATGACTGTAGGTTGTGCCTGTGAAGTTGGGGTTTGCTGCCCAAGCTGGGAAGTTGTCCTCAGCAACCCTGAACTAAGAGTGCTGGAGCGCAGCACCGTGGCCGACGTCTGTACACAGTGCGAGTGCACGTGGCAGGTGGTGACAAAGCCAAGTTGTTTAGCCTTCTTGTTCCCTGAAAAGTTATAATATCAACTTAAAGATTAAGTTAGAGCTGGGGTCGTAGCTTAATGGTAGAGTACTTAGTCTGTGTGAAGCCCTAGGTTTGAGCTTTAGTATTACAAAGAAGAAAGATGGAGGAAGAGGTGAAGGTAGCCATTTTTAGTCCTCCTCTGGGTCCAAGAAGTTTATACTTGTAATCCCAAAATACGTTACTGGAATTGCATCAAGTAAATTCTAATCTACCACTTCCAGTGCAACCCAGAATAAAGACACTAAGGCATATTTATAGTTGTGGGGAGCCAAGGGGCCCTAAGTCCAGCCATGGTGATGGTTATCTAGGACAGAGGCCTCAACCCAAGGCCGAACTTGGTTTTTATTCAGTCGTGAAGGAGGAGTGGCTTGAGGATGAAGGACTGAGAATGGCAGGAAGTAGGTGTGTACTGAGAGTTGGGCTGGGGAGGAGGCCTGCATTTACCTCTGCAATGTGCAGAGAGAAGGATGTGCAGAAAAAGTCATTTGCATTATATTGTTGAGATAGTATCTAATATTTTGGGGTCCAATGCTTCAGCTCTGGTGTGTAATCTTTCAAGCCCCAGGAAGTCATAACCTCTGTCTTGAGGCTTGATCCCGGCTGTCAGTGTGGAGCACTGACTCTTTGTCCTGTCTCGACCCGGCTCATATTAAAGAGCAGCAGGCGTGGGTTATCAGGGAAGCATGCGGGCCGTCTTCAGAGACTACCACCAGCACCTCAGCTAGACCAGTATGCATTGCGTAAAGCCAGTTGAAGGGGTACGGCAAAGTCCTAGCCAGCTCTGTACGTGAAAGTAGGGTCAGGCACAGCCAAACTGGAGATGATTGCTCTTCTTTCAAGGAGAGTCACCCAGGTGGTCTTCTACAGAGGGGGAGAAGGAAAAGAAAGGGGGAAGGGAGAGGAAGGAGGGGAGGGAGAGGGAGGAAAGAAGAAATGGAAAGCGAAGGGAAGGAAAAGAAAGAAAGAGAAGAGTCGATAAAACTGTTGACATTTACAGCAGGTTCAAAGACTGGAGTATAGTCTCTTTTGGGGGTCAAGGAGCTGAGAAAAAAAGTGTTATTCTTTAAATGGTGGCAGTGTTAAGACTTTAGACTAAAAAAAGATTTTAGGCTTTTCTTTTCCCTTGAGGATGAGTCAAGGTTCCAGAGAAGAATGGAGCATGTAGGTGGGCAGAAAATCCCATTCTACTCTGCCCTCTGGTGGTGATCAGTTGCCTAGCGCCTTCCTAGGGTGAAGCCCTGGAGCGAGGGAGAGAGTGCATTGCATTGTTCTTCAGTTTTGTGACTAGTCAGTCTTTAATTTGAAGTTTTAGGGTTTTTTTTTAAGGTTTTTATTTTGTTTTAACTTCTGAGCACTGCAGTATCTCCCTAACAAGTCCCACGGAAACATTTTTATTGAGATAGGGTCCCACTCTAGCTCAGGCTGGCCTCCTACTCATATCAATCCTCCTGCCTCAGCCTCCCAAGTGCTGGGGTCACAGGTGTGCACCACCATCGCCAGCCCAGGCCAACATTGTATAACTAGAAATTTTCTAGATACTTCCAAGCATTAACTCTTTCCTCTCTCACCATGTTAATTTAGATCTTGAACATCATTAGCTCAGTTGAATCCTAATGCCTACTACAATTGTCTGATTTTATTTTAGTGTCAACAGAGCTGTTCCAACTCCTTTTCTGACATTAATGGCCAAAGGCAAGAAAGCAGCTTAGCTTGTCGTCTCTTGTAGTAACGCTGCACTGCGACTACGCCCAAGTGGGATCACCTGTTATTATCAAAGCCAGCATGTGATGGTTTAGTACCTATCTGCATGTATGTTGTTTCCTGATCGTAGTACAGTGTCCCTGTCATAGAACAGCATTCCTTGCAGCTACTTTTCCCCTGACTTTATATTGTTCTTGTCTTTAAGCCTCAGCGGTGGCATTTTTTATTTCTAGTTATGACATGATAGCTCCTGCACGGAATTGATTCTGTACCACTATTGGGGCGCATAAAGCCAAAAAGCATGTGACTCAGTATCTAGCAGAACTGGCCTGAGCCAGGCCTGGTGGCACACGCCTATAACTGCAGCATGGGAGGAGGATTTCTGAGTCCAAGGCCAGCATGGGCTACATAGTGAGCCCCTGTCTCAAAAACAAACAACAACAACAAAATTGGTCCAAAGAACACTCATAACTGTTTTTACCCCATGCTAGGGATTGCATGCAGACCCTCACACATGCTGGGCACGGGCTCTGCCACAGAGCTCCACCCCAGTAGCCCTTTAGAAAGTGCCATCCTCATCCTTGTAGCAGGAAGAAGCTGAAGAGAGCACAGCCAGGGAGACGAAGGGAGAAACACAGCCGGGGAGCGGGCAACAGAGCAGAGGCAGAGCCATGAGTCAGCAGAGGACCCCATCACAGACCAAGGTGGAGGCAGTGGGCTGATGCTCCTGTCGTGGTTTTCTGGGGGCCCCAGGAAGGAAAAGGCAGCAGAGAAGCCAGGAGCAGACCAGAACCTGACCGGTGTTCCCTGTTTGTTTCAGTATTCACTGAATGAAAGGAAGCTGCTGGAATTGAGGACGGAAATAGTGGAATTGGTAAGAAGTGAGACTTCGACTTTCTTTGCCATTTTATTCCTCCTTGTTTGCTCCTAAGCGCCATTGCTATTGTTTGTGTTACAGGAAGTTGGGCAGGTTCAGTGTTGTTGTTTTACTGTGGAAAAATATCCATTTACATAAAAATTGCAACTTAAATATATATGGTCAGTAGCATTTATTTTGCAGAATTGAACCTCTGAGTCCCTTATGGCCTGAGCCCCCATTCCTGCCTCCTGCAGCCCCCAGCAGGCACCATCCCATTTTCTTCTCCATGAATCTGAGTGATCCAAGTAACCTCACAGACGTAGACTGACACGTTCCCTTGTCCCAGTGCCTTCGAGGCTCTGCCATGCTGTTGCCAGGGACAGATCTTTCTTAAGGCTGAATAGTATGCATCACATGTATCCCACAGTTGGTTTATTTCTCTGTCGGTGACCATGGCCTCATCTTCTGGCTCTTGTGATCAGGAGGCAGATGACTGCTCCTGGTCCTCACGGGTATGCTCCCTGGGAGCCCTGACCCTGGAAGAGGCTGGCTTGAGAGAATGCTGGAGCGCTGGGATGTGTCTCTGGCTTAGTTTCCTGCTCATCCAAGCATTTATTTCCATATTCTTTGCCTGAATTGGTAACCATAGGAAACTACTTACTTTTCTAGGATACTTAGTGAAGCATTCTCAGTGTTTTTGTGTATTAATGCAATTATATAACCTCTTTATCAGCCAAACTCACTGCCAGTTGGGGATTAAATATGTAGTTTAACTGTTTTATTTTTGGAGGACACGAAGGCTAGCCTTGGTAGCCAAGCCTAGTACTAATAAAACCCTTGATGTTTAAACAGTGGAAGAAGACAACTTACAAAAATGTGAATAGGCTAGTGTTGTATTAGTTTTCTGTCATTGTTGAGACAAAATCCCTGACACCCAGAGTGTATAAAGAGGGAAAGGGCTGTTTATCTCACAGTTTGTGGAGGTTTCAGTCCATGCTCAGCTGGCTCCCAGGCAGGGAGGGGTGGTACAGGGGCCGCTGTTCATGGTGGCTGAAGACAGCAAAGCAGCACGAGCAGAAAGAGATGTGTGAGAGAAGACTTTCTTTGTACTGGGGATCAAACTCAGAACTTTGTGCTTGCCAGGCAGAGCTTGTGCCACTGAGCTGTCTCCCTGGCCCAGGAAGACTCTTTCTGTCTTCACATGGCATGCAGGCTCCCCACCCTAGGGCAGGGGCAGCACTCACACCCGTTATCCCAGCTCTAAATCCTGAGCCAGTGACGAACTCTAGAAGCCCACACCCATGACTGCACAAGGCTTTAGGGGGACACCTAGACACAAACCATAACGAGTATCAAGACAGGCCTTTAGATCATCTAAGGCTATATTCAGCTCTCCAAATGACTCTTGAGTTTACTGTAAGCCTTTCACTGAGGGGGATTAGGCAGCTGGGGGCGAGTTCATTATCATTGCTAATAAACTGGCCTCAGTATGATGCATAGAAGTAGTGTCTGTAGTTTCCAAACACTTTTTCTCATCGGTCATCACCTTTGATTCTCTCCGTAGCTCTTGTGGGCAGTCTGAAGGCAGAATCAGAGGGCTGGGCTTGGTTTCCCTTTTCCAAACACCGGGAACCTCAGGCCTGAAGCACCCTAGGGACTTGGGCAGTTCAGCTCAGCCACACAGCAGCAGACCCAAGACTGAAACCCAGCTCCCCATCCGAAGCTGCGCCGTGTGCACCCTGCCCAGAAGGATCAGGGGCGGAGGGGACTAACCAGAGTGTTCTCATGCCTGAATTCTGTGTTTTGAAAGCATGCGCAGCAGGATCGGGCCCTGACACAGACAGATAGGAAGATAGAAACCGAGGTCGCTGGCCTCAAGACCATGCTCGAAGCGCACAAGCTGGACACAATCAAGTATCTAGCAGGTAAGCCGCTCTTTGGTGAAGCGTGCACAGCAGCCTGGAGAGGAGGTACATTGGGTTTATAAAATCAGTGACAGATACTGCATTTATTTGAGCCTAGCGTGTGTGTGTGTGTGTGTGTGTGTGTGTGTGTGTTGATATCTCTTACATGGAAAGCCTTTTCAGGTGCCATCCCAGTACTCAGGATGCTGAAGCAGAATTGTCCACCCAACCTAGGCTACAGAGACCCTGTTTCGAAAAACCAAAAAAAAATTCCCATTAGATGGAGTATCATACTTTAACGTTTTTTTCTTTCTTACTAGCAAATAAAAGTTATTATATAATTTATAGTTGAAGGAATCATACATTTGATAAGATATTGTGGTTGAGCTGTGGTTGCTTGGGATTTTAGTGAAATTCACTACAAGGAATATTTGATGAATGAAATGAAAGGAGGTTGAGTCATGATCATTGTACTTGAGTTGGGGACATTTGTTGCTCTTCGCTGCTGAGGTGTAGCCCCACTTGTTTTTGGAACAGAATCTTGCTAAGTTGCCCAAACTGGGCTCAACTTGCAGTCCTCCTGCCTCAGCCTCCAGAATGCTAGGACCACGGGCCTGTGTGACTCTGTCCAGCAGTTGGTGACACTGCTTTTAAGGAGTTCGTTGCCTTTGAAATTTTTGAGCCACAAGATGGGTGAAGATTTAAATATTTTTTAGAAGTTAGCCATTATTCCAAGTCAGCTTTAACATTTTGGAAATGTTACAGCAGTGTATTGCAGTGACATTTTTCCCTTTATATTAAAATATATGTCACTGTGTAGTACGCATACTTACATTTTGCAATGGTGGATGTTTTGTGATTCTAAACTTGTATTGAAAAGTTGTCTGGAATATTGGACACATTTTTACTTTGAAGATGTTGGTGTCAAGATGTGTGATTGCTTTTATAATGGGCAAGTGTTTATGGGATATAGTACTTACATCATTGAGCAAAGTTTTCTAGAGCTTTAAAAACTCTTTAGTGGGGAGGTGGATGAGAGTCATTGTGTACTTAATAATCAAGTGGCCCTGTACTTCAGGTCACCTCCAGATTATTTATGATGCCTAAGAGACTGTAAAAAGAAAAAAGGCTTCCTCACAAAGGTGTTTCAGGAGAACTAACTCCTCTCCCCACTGTCTTGTCCTCACAGGGTCTGTCTTTACCTGCCTCACGGTTGCTCTGGGATTTTATCGTCTGTGGGTATAGTGGAATGTGTATGTAAAGAAATTTCTATAGTTTTGCCTAAAGAATGCTAAATTGTTGTCCCTTTTTATCTTGTTTCAAATTTTAACCCTGATTTTGACCTAGTGCATATTATTTATTTTTATGAAACTTGTGAGCACATAACCAAGATAGTGAGGTCAGAAGTTCCTCAGTTGCTCCTCTCACGGCCTGTGTAACTGAGTGCCGTGGACCCGACACTGAGGATCGACTGCTCACCCAGGGCACTTGGCCGAGCCAACAGGAAGCGTTGGTGTGATTCTCTGCAGTGTTACGTCTTTCGTCACCCTGGGGATTCAGGGCTAGCATGAAAGGACATAGTGGCCTCAAGCACTGAAGAATCGCTGAAACTCAGCCAGTGTGGGCTCCTCTTCACCAGGACCCGTCCTCTGCCAGTGCTGCCTGCGCACTGTGGCCTGTCCCGAGCTCAACTGTGCCTCTCCACCTCGGTGGTGTCCGTCCTCTTAGTAGGTTAGGTCACAATTATGTTTAATGTGCCTTCCACTGAGAAAATCTTGTTGCCTAATGAAGCCTTGCAATTGGAAAGGGAAGTCTTTTACATCGTGCCTGATTTCCTTCCTTCCGTTTCTCCCCATTCTTTCTATTCCCTTTCCCTCCTGATGCAGACTATAACAACACTCTGCCTGTGCCCTCACCTCCCTAGAGCACTCCCTATTTCTCAGCATGAAGCTCTCCTTGAGTTTAGGGTTCAATGACTGCTTTCTTTGGGCCATCCTTGGCCTGAGATGCAAGGGAAGCACTGTCTTTCCTTCTCTGAGCTGTCTAGGTGGGGTGCACACTGTTAATAATGAAGCCCACGCCATTAGAGAGTGTGCGTTTGCCTGTGACCAGCTCCGATTGTACGCCTTCCATGCAGCGCCGCGCCCGGCAGCAGCCTCACTTCCACTGATGTCCCTTGCTATAGAAGATACCCTCACGGCTACTGTAGCTCAGTAATGAAATCCTCCACAAGGCTGGTTTATTTTGGAGATGCACATTTTCATCTCCTTTGACTGACTGGCTATGGGCAGGAGTAAGCAATTTGGGAGTAATGGCAGACGGCCTTTCTGTCTTTGCCCACATGCATGCATGTGTGGAGGGGTCGCGTGAAGAGCGCTCGCTCAGACTGGTAGAGTGAATTATTCATCGTCACTGCTCAGCATGTGGGTAAAATGAAAGTATTAAGTCACTGCCTTTTTAGAAAACATTTGTGTAAACCAAAAATTTTGTGTTCCACACAGGAGAAAAATCAAAGACCTTTGTATTCGCTGGTTGCAGTTTCAAAGTGAAATGTAATAATTTAGTATTTTTCAAGTAGATCAAACATTGCCTTAACCACAAGGTCCCAAGAAAGGTGGCACATCCAGCAGTATTACAGGGCTCCAGGAGTGGCTGCATTAGGCCACGTTCATAACTGCTGGATGTCACAGAGCTCTGTTTGTCATGGCTGGAGAAAGGGCCTGAAGGCCAGACACTCTTACCAGGTCATGCTTCCAAAAGAAAGGTTTCCAGGGGAAGAAGATACCGCATACAGTTATGCTACCAAGCAAACGCTAACCTCGTATGTGTTAAAAACAGAAGGTGAAGTGTCCTTATATCCTGATTAGATATGACTAAAATATGCTGGGTGGCATACTTAACTCTCTTCCCAGTATCCCCACGCGTCACTTCTCTTGGTGTTTGTGGACCATGTCATGCTGTCACTTCACATGGTCTTTGGGTTTACTACAGAGTAGTAGTAAGGATAGTGCAGCCTTCTGTGGCTTTGGGAACAGTGGCCCGTCCTGAGTGTGTGGATGGTGCTACATTGGCTTCCTCAGTGCTTGGGATTGTGTTCCCTTCATTAGCTCCAAGGAGTGTATTCAAAAAGCGTTGAGCCAGAAATACCAAGGCACTCTTCGTGCTGCTGCCTTGCACGACTGTGCATGTCAGCACACCAGGCCTACACACTGTTCACGCCCCCTGTGCTGCCCAGCGCGGAGCGCTCAGGTTGCCCCAGGAAAGAAGCATGCAGCAGAAGAGGCCTGGCAGAAGCTCAGCAGCAGGCTGTGTCGAGGCCGTGGGGATTGCCAGCAGGCCTGGTCCAGAGCAGGTGCCCAGCGCAGCCTGGGCAGACAAGCATGGAAGAGCTACAGCAGAGCAGGAAATCGAGCCTGCCACCTCCTTCCGTGTGCTGGTCACTGTTCACCTGGCCGGTCCCCTCTTGCTCACTTTTCTCTTGATCTTCCCCTACCAGTTCATTTTTCAAGAATCTCAGCCACAATTTCACTTTTTCTCCCCATTTTACTACTAAGCAGAACCTGTTAGAGTGTATAGTTCTTTGCTGGAAACAGTAGTTTTGATTTCTGTGTTGGTTTTACTCTCTTAGCTGGTTTTATTCTCTCTCTCTTGCTGTGTATGTGTGTGTGTGTGTGTGTGTGTGACCGAGGATTGAACTCAGGCCCTTGCACTTGCCAGGAAAGCACTTATTCTACTGAGCCATCTCCCTGACCTTGGTTTTATTCTCTAGCTTCATAGCTAGCAAAGCTCTGTGTGTGTGTGTGTGTGTGTGTGTGTGGTGTGTTTTTCCCCTTAAGTATGTCAAGCACCTCAGCTAGGAAATCAAAAGTTCAAGAAGAAAGGCTTGACTCAAACCAGAAGCTTTGCTGAAATTTGCCTCTGAACACTTTAAAAATGAAAGGCCCAGGCCATGGCCAGCACATCTCCGTGCCTGGCTTACCTCATCTCAGCCTTTACATTTCTCTTCCCTCGGGAGCATGCCAGTGATCATCACCGTCCTTCTTGTCCCCTCCCACCCGCTGCCTGTCACTTGCCCGTGTGGCTGTGGCAAGCTTTTCTCTCCCTCTACCCTCAGAGCCTGTGTTCTCAGACCCTCACCACTTTGAATCAGTATTTCATGCTGGAACTCACCTAGAAAGCTGACTTTAGGGACCAGGGAGATAGCTCAGTAGAATAAGCGTTTGCCTGGCAAGTGCAAGGGCCTGAGTTCAATCCCCAGTTCTGCCAAAAAAAAAAAAAAAAAAGCTGACTTTAGCATTTGTTTATCAAATTTGTTGTGACTTTTTTTTGGCACTAAAGTAAAAACATTAACTGGACATAATTTATTATGCAGCATTTAAGAATTTATAGTCTTTTATTGGAATTTTATTTGGGAAATATGTTTCTACAGATACATGCTTAACATTCCTTCAATTGTAAGTGGAATAATTTCTTAACCCCTTGATTACCTAAGTAAATTCAGTTGTATTGTCTAAAAGTGTATAAAATGTTTGTATCTAAAATAAAGTATTTAATTCTGTGTGACTGATACACTCCTTTTCAGGGTGGCAGTGCTGGGGATCAAACCTGGGGCCTCATGTGTGCCAGGCAGGTGCCCTCCCTGGCTGCCTGGGTGCCTAACCGCCCAAATGACAAGCCAGGACACCTGCTCTGTGCTTCACCTGTTCTATCCAAGGTGGGAGGAGCACACCAGGGAACTAAGTAACCCTGGAATGTGCGAAACTGTGTTTATGCAGAAAATAGACTTGAAAGTAAATATTCTATCTGCCAAATAAGTTGTTAGTATTCTAGAACTCTCTATCCTGCTCACATACATTGTTTCAACTGCTTGTGGGACAGGAAATGATGAGGTTTGTACACAAGTGTTTTGAGGTAGGTGGGAGGACCCCGGGGCCAGTAATGGAAGTCCTCCTTCAGCTTGTGAAACTAAGATTCAAGAAGAGCAAAACACACACCATCCCTCGCATGGGCAGAGGAGGGTCCCTGTCACCTGTGTCACCTTTTGTGAGGACCACAGGGATTGTTCCACTTCACCTCTGCAGTGTAAGAACAGACAATCCTTTTGCCTTGGGCCTTTAGTTTTTCCAAAACTAAAAATTGTTTTAAAAGAAGACATTCTGGGGCTGGAGAGATGGCTCAGTGGTCTAAAGCACCTACTTAGAACAAGCTTGGCAAAGCATCGAGGACCACGGTTCAATCCCCCAGCACCACATGCCAGCCAGCC